CTCCATTAGGGGGAGGCACCGAGCTGTGGCGTCCCCTGCGAGCGCTCAGCCTGCTGCCTCCATCGCGCGGCATCAGGAACCTGCTGCTGCTGTCGGACGGCCACGTCCAGAACACCGAGCTCACCTTGAAGCTGCTCAGAGACGACGCTCGGCACAGTCGCCTCTTCACCTGTGGCCTCAGGTCAGAAAGTGGGGAAATGTGTGGCGTCCTACAGCTGTGGTCACAAGTTTACATCCATTTATCATGAACATGATCGTCACGGTAACAGTAGGCTGTCATGATTTCTCTGAACTGCTCTTTTTCCAAGATTATTACACAGTTTCCATCTTTAATGAGCTTAAAAAACAAGAAGTGGGTCCACAGTTTGTAAACGTTTGCCCACAGCTGTATGCTGTCGTGTTAAAGTGTGTCCTGCTGTTTAAACTGTAGTCACCAGTGAGAGACGTGAGTTTACAAAGACCTGAATCACAACATTAACAACACGGATCATTATAATGGACTCTGTGATGCTCTGCACACTGAGCTTCTTCTTGATTTGATCCATCTGATCTTTTAAATATGCATAAAGTATGTGTCTGATGATTTTAGCACGACGGCCAACCAACACATGCTGAGAGCCCTGGCTCAAGCAGGGGGCGGAGCCTATGAGTTCTTCGACACAAAAACCAAACACAACTGGGCAGAGAAGGTGAGCGCTCGTGTCATACACAAGCAGCTGTTAATTGTTGTTATTCGGTTGTTGACTCGTTATGAGAAGATTGTAAATAAAATCCAAAATTTTCTTTGTTGTGTTCACAGGTGGCCTGTCAGCTGAAGCGTTTGGCATCTCCTGGCTGCAGTTCAGTGTCTGTGAAGTGGCAGCAGTTCAGCCCAACAAGTCCACCCCTGCAGGCTCCCAAGCAGCTGCACGCTCTGTTCAATGACTGTCACACTCTGGTTTATGGCTTTGTGCCACACTGTACTCAGGTAAGCTGCTTCTCTGCTGAGCTGAACACAGCCCGGCTTTTCCTTCTTTTCTGTCTTTTAGAATAGAAAAGAATAGAATTCAACTTTATTGTCATTGCACGTATCACAAGTACCAGGCAACGAAATGCAGTTTGCATCCATGCAGGAGGGCTTTAGCCATGATATAGGTATATTAGAAAATATATATTAGCAATAATAAAGATATATTACAAAAATGGGTCTATTATGGGTGTGTTACAGTGTACACGGTATGAAGGT